CCCCCCCCCCCCCCCGCTGCACAGTGCAGCGTGAAGGGAACGCGTCCTCTCTCCAAGGACTGGTGCGAGAGAGGTCGCCGTTGAAAGGTTGGTGATTGGGGGACCTTGTTACTCTGAAGCATTTTTCATAGTCTTTGCAGTCAGACATTTCTATCGTAAGGAGCACGTTAATTAACAAAACCTCTTCTTGAATAATTTTGATACTTATTTTAGCTGACCTGCTAGTAACAGAGCCCTTTCACCCACCAACCGGTCCATAACCATTTTTATAGTTACGTGTGTTACAAACATACAGGCATCCAGTAGGGGAGCGTTTTTAAGTAATTCATTGTGAATTGTATGTGTATCGTGAAGGGTGTTAACATGCCTTGATGAGAGATCATGTGAAACTTCGCTTCAGCTTTTAGGGAGCACATGCTTTGTCTCCTTTTTAGATCTCCTGTTTTATTTTTGTTGCTGTCTCTCCCTGTAATAAAAGTGGTAGAAACACATCACTCTCCGAGAAGGAGAAGCTGTGGCGGTGGGATGGGGGATGGCCTGTAACCCTGACAGCGGTCCTCTGTCCTTCATGTGCATTTGCCCGGCGGGGGGGTGGCGGGGGCGTTTTTTGCTTGTTTATTCCTTGTGGACCCCCACCCTACTCCTCCCTTGGCCTTGGAATTAATTATTCAGAGCCCAGTTCAAATTCCGGTTCTTCCACCTCATAGCTGTGAGGTCTTGGCAAGTTTCTTAACTTCTCTAAACCTCATTTCCTCATCTGTAAACTGGAGATAATATTATCCACTTCATAGGTTATTATGAGAATCAGATGAGGTGATGTATCGAAGTTTATCTGTTTAAAGGACCTAGTTCACCACTTGGCTTAGAGTGGAATGGGCTCAATACATATGATAAACATAAAATGTTTTGACTTGAGTGTAGAAAACACTGGTTTTATTCCTAAGTAAGTGCAAGACATTCTGAGATCTCTGTGGAAATTCAGACATTATCATTCACTGCCTGGGATGAATGACGGTGTGGTAAAAGCGAATAGAAGACCTTCGTTCAAAGAAACAGACTACCTGTGATAATGTAGGTGTCACCAGGATCTTATAATTAATGCATCTGTTGATTGGTTTTCGTTGCTGTGGCTTTGGAATATGTGTTATTAGAAAAGGAATGCTATTTTTAAATGATGCTTAACCTCATCATAGCTGCCTGTAATGTTCTTATTTTGTGACTGCAGTAAACATTTTATGGGATAAAATTTGTATTTTAGGCCTTTCAGGAGAGAACCAAGAAAGAGTTTTCAAGTGAGTTTCTGATTTTTCTTAGTTTAGTTTCCTCAGAAGTTTAAACCTTAATTTGTTTGATGCAATAGCTGAAAGAATAAAAAGTCTTTTGAAAATGTCTTAATTCTGTTGTCAGTACAAAAGATTGTTTCAGTTTTAGCTGGAGTCTGTATTTGGAGGCTTTCTTTAACTGACTTTAATAAAAATTACACATTTTAGAAGGTAGTAGTAGATACTTGTTGCATGAATGTCCAGATAGTATTCAGACACATTTTATCTTCTGCTATGTTAGGTTTATTTTTGGAATGGAAGTAATTGAGTTCTCTATTTATATTTACTTTGAGTTTTTTGTGTTTTAAAAATATGCCATGTTTGCTTAGTGCTTATGTCTAAGGGGATGAAAAATATATAGTGTGTTTCAGTTTTTCCTGGTTAGTTAATGGTGTAGAGCCCTTTCCAAAGAGGATTTCAGTCTGTTTTAGTTTATATGTGATTAGATTTTAAGCTCTGTGAAGTTTCAATTTAATATCTGAATTTATGTATCTAAACTTGGTTCGTTGGTTTTAATCATAAATCATAATGATCAGTTCATCCACTTAAGAAACCAGTTCATGTGCAAAAAAGAACAGCTGATTGCTGCGGCCATTCTTTTTGCATTCCTGTGTTTCAGATCTCAAATAACTGAAGTGAAAAAAATTTTAAAAAGAACGAAAGAAAGCTGGATTAACCACTAATTAATTTTTATTATTTTGAAGAAACTTTTTTGAGTTGTGGGAACTCTACTGTCAAGATAGATGCCCATAAACTTGTATTTTAAAGTTAATTATACATTAAAGTAGATTTACTAACATACTTTATAAGGATACCTCTTCTTCACACTAAAAAAAAAAAAAAAATGTAAAAGTAACAAAATTGGAAGTCTACCTAATGCTAACAGTCTCTTTACATCGTACTTTGGGATGAGCATGACTACATAGTACATATTGTTTGTATTTTACAGGGACATTTTACATTGACCATTTAACTTTCAAGTTTGCTTTTTCTTTGGAAATCAATTATCGTAGTATTTGAAATGACTGCTGTATACCTATTTTGAGGTTTAACCAAGCTTCTTTGCATATTAGAAAATACTTCGTAGGACCAACCCTGTTTCCCCCTTTGGTTTATTTAGAAGACTTGCACTGTCTGCCAGATGCTGCTCCCTAACCAGTGCAGTTACGCATCTCATCAGAGAATCCACCAGCACAAATCTCCCTACACCTGCCCCGAGTGCGGGGCCATCTGCAGGTCGGTGCACTTCCAGACCCACGTCACCAAGAACTGTCTGCACTACACGCGGAGAGTTGGTTTTCGGTCAGTATATCGTTCATTTCCGTGCAAATAAAGCTTATTCACGTCTGAGGGCACAGGGTTCTGAGTGGTCTGTGCACATCGTTTTCAGGGTCATACAGTGATACCTCGATTAACAGATCCTCTGGGAACCTGGCTCATTTGTAGTCGAGTTGATCTGTGTGAATCCTGTAATGTGGTATTGACTCTGGTCCACACGAAGCCGAGGGTCAGTGGGACCCATCCTTCTAAGCAAAAGTGTGCAGGTGGTAAGGTTTGGCTTTGATTGACTGTTAGAGCCTTTATACTTTCTGTACCCTTTCTAGCATACTTCTGTTGTCACGCTCTCTGCATTTTAAGCCCTGCAAGAATGCAATGCGTTTCTGTACCTCTGAATACTTGCCCTCATCAAAACAGAAAGGGTATGGATGGTCCCTTACTTTTATCTTGTCTTGTTATAGGATTGGGTGTGTGTCCTTTCCTACCACTGCTCGTTGTGGAATAGCCTTCCACACCCCAGATCACCTTCCTTTATTCCTCCTTCTCCATTACCTGAGTCCAGGCTTCTCCCTCATCTCTGCACATCTTAACCGTGACCCCTTTCACTGCCCCCTAATATTCTCAGATGTGTCTTTTACAACATCTGACAAGGCTAATGTTAGTTTAGTCTTTTACAACATCTGACAAATCTAAATGTTAGTTTAGTATTGAGCGATGATGCATTTGAACTTGATCCTCCACTTTGTGACTTTCTGAAATGCATTCCTGTACCTTTTAGAAACATTTTATTCCTGTACATTTTGACCCAGTGCAGGTCCACCAAGAAAACACGTCATTGATATACAGTGTCTTTGTTAATAGAGGTATTACTGTATTGTGTATTTATCTTAAACTTGAACATTTGTTCACCGGGTCTTGTTAATGTTAGACGGTTAATGTACAATTATTTTTTTTCTTTTGGTTGTGATACAGATATGATGTTTTATAAAAATGAAGGCCAGTCGGTATGATTTAAAAGTTGTATTTCAGCTAAATTTACATTATGGCATCACCAATTTCTAGGTGGTTCAGTCCATTTTTCTAACACTAAGTCTTTTTTTTTTTTTTTTTTTTTTTTTTTTTTTTTTTTTTGTTGTGTTCCTCTTCCCCACTGCTGTGGCCTCTCCTGTTGCGGAGCACAGGCTCCGGACACGCAGGCTCAGCGGCCACGGCTCACGGGCCCAGCCGCTCCGCCGCATGTAACACTAAGTCTTATTTCACATTTTTATCTCATGCCTCCAAACCTGTGATGCACAGATATTTAATGGATTGGCAACCACCCTAGTAGAAAACCTTTGGTTTGGAAATTTAGAAACCAGGGTTTTTGTACCAGTTAGGCTCCTCATTGTGTGGTAATTCATGTGTTCTTTGTGCCTTGGTGCCCTGACTGTAAAATTGGTGTGATATTTGCCTCCATCTCTGTGGGCATGTTACAGAGTAAAACAGGATAATCCAAAAGCATGCTAAGTGCTTAAGAGGAGTGTTCCACATTGAAGGTGCCCTTGATTCCACAGAATTCATACACAGTGATACTTTGGTTCTTATCCCATGTTTTGAAACTCGTATTACTGGATTCTTTATTTAATATAAAACTACAAGTGCAGTTCTTTTAACGGATGCCAATTTCCTCAGATATTTATAGTTGATTTTTCTAATATAATGAAAGTAAACTTAAGTTGGAATGAATAAAGGAATTAAGACTCCTATAATGCTAGCTATTCCTGGTATCTTTTTTTTTTTTTTTTTTTTTTTTTTTTTTCGGT